AAAAAAAAAAAAAAAAAGAAAAATAGTTTCCTAAACTAAAAATTGAAAATGAAAAAACGAAAAGAAATGAAAATAAGAATTTTCAGACAATTTAATACAGATTAATAAAAGATTTGTTAATTAACGTAAAAAAAAGAAAAAAAAAAAAAAATGTAGGGTTCTATTTACAAAAAAAAAAAAAAAAAAAAATACCAATGATCTGGATATTTCGTAAAAATATGACTTTGAAATATCTCCACCACTACACACGATGAAATAAATTATTTTCGTTCTAACAAGTATTTTTTTCATCCAACACGAATTGAAATTCTAATCAAGTGATCCACCCTACACACACAGTGTTTCACGCTCGCACATAAAATCACTGTCTAACGAGTATAGTAGTATTACTCAACGTTATTACATTAATAATAATGTTGAAGAAAGATTACAGAAACTGATGATGATTGCATGGTACGGTGGTCGAGTGGAATGTTGAAAGATCGAAAGGGAGTCCACTATGAGTTTCGTTCCACGGGAATCTTGCACCATCCCAGTTAAGGAGGGTTGAACAGGAAATCGATATTCCCACTCCTAACCGTCTACAAAGCCGATTGCTTGACAGAAAATGTCAAGTTAACACTAATCTATATCTATTGTCACGTTATTTACGCCAAATTTTGCGACATTAATCGACAACGGGATAGACGCGCAGAAATGTTGAAACAGTATTTTACAAAGAAAACTCTGTATACAGACGTAATAATAGGAAAAAAGGAAAAGTATAAAAAGTAATTCAAATTAATTCGAGCTATTAGAAATCATTCGTTCGAAGCTAAGTGGATTTGTTCGTTGAAGCACCTGTTTTGCATGAAATGAAATTTCTGAAACTTTTGTATTCGTGATTCTTATAACTGTATGGAATCTCATTAGTAACATGACAGTCGAACTTCTGACCTGGTCACTGACACGAATGTTAATCAAGAATGATGAACGTAACCGCATTGAGTGATATTTGACGGCACTGTAATCGTACGAGCTATTTCGAAGCAGCTAATAAAGAATTAATGGGAACGTTTCAATTTCTGAATTCTGGAGACGCTAAATGTCATACGAGTCGTATGCAATGATTCGCAACGAAATTCGAATTGATATCGATTAAGATTAAATTACATTTACTGAATAATTTTTATCGTAGTAGTTTAGTACATACGTGCTACAATCGATAGCTCTCGGTATCATTTTGTGTGAAAAAAAATTGCGTAAATTGCGTTCATCGAATAATTTTCTCAAGTACGTAACATATTCTTGATGTAAGTTTTACATTTTCTCGAAATTAAATACATCTACACGATATATTAGATTCATAGTATAGTTATAAATTGTTTAAGAAACAATTCTGTAATAATTTTGCTCTCTCTTGTAAGAAATAGCAAATGTAGTAATTATAAACGTGATGCGTTAATAGCGAAAATTATTGTTTTGGTCAGTGAAACGAATACGGACTTGGCCTATTATTTCCCCCACGCGCTTTCCTAGTCGCCATACTCATGAAACGGCTCGACACGTAGGCACATTTCACTTTATTGCAACAAAATTAGCGACATCTGTTGTTGAATTCAATTGTTAATAACTCAGTCGGTAACTTCTTCAAGCTATCGAATTTTGCTGTACTATTTTATCGACATCGAGAAACGAAGCTACTTTACCAACAGTATCAGAATTTTGCGCGAAATCACAGAATTCAAGATGAGAACGATGAACTCTGTGTGTACATCGTCTAAGGGGCCGACGCCCCCTTTTCAAGGTGAACAACTCTCATGAGAGATTACAACATTTTTCTGCAGACATTTTTATTCATATTTTATTCTCCTTTTTCAAAACACTATTTTAATGAACACTTTAAATTTTTTTGTTGTTCTTTTATGATAACAGATTACTAAGATTTTGATTGTTTTAATCATCATAAAAACCGATAATATAATACAATACAATATAATATGAATATAAATATAAATTTCATATATATATTTTCAAAGTATTTTAAAGTATCTATTGCTCTTAACAAATTTTAACCTATATTAATAATTGACATATACATTAATAACAAATTTCAAACTATATTAAAAATGAAAATATCCTTTGTCTATCATATCATTTAAAGAAGAAACAGAATGAGTTATTATATGTAAACATGCAAAATTAAGCAATTACAAAGTAATAGACTACTGAATAAAAGTTACATCACTGTCACTCACCATTGAAAAGCATTGAAGTGGTAGTAGACAAGCCCTTGACCATACAAAAATGAAGCATCTTTCCAATAATCTCCTTTCAAGGAATAAAATTTTTGATATGCCGACATGGCTGTTGAAATTAAAAGAAGCATAAAAGTATTGTAAATAAAATTAAGGAAAACTTATCAGAAACAATTAGTTACCTTTACTGTAATCTTCTAAAAGTAAATGAAAATGTCCCAGTTTACAATATGTTTTAGGATCAATGCTAATTCCTTTATCTTCATCATCATCCTTTAATTCATCAGGATTCATTTTTGTACTATCCGCTTTTCTGCGTTGCTTCTCAGCTTGCGCTTGGACTAGCATCCTTTCTAAATATTTAATTGCACGAACAACTAAGGCCTTCTTCTTTGTTTGCTCCGGTGAATTTAATTTTAAAAATCCAAACTGTCGACTGCACACACATAGAAAAAATACATTGATTAATAAGAAATTCTCAATAATAACTTCAATAATCATTAAATATAAGCTCACTCGTTATTAAGAATAACATCACTCATTGTATATTGTTGCATTACAATAAACTTTTAAAATATACATAAACGAATGTTTGATATACTTCTGTTTTTATATGTTTCAAAAATATATTTTTGCGTAACTAACTAATGCCTTAAAGATTACGAACGATCGCACCGTGAATTACAAAAGCATAATGACATATTAATCGCATTCTTTATATCTAAACGCATAAAAATGATGTCAATAGGTAGCAAACACTTCTGAATATACCAGTTAAATTGCGCGCCTATTCTGTCAAACAAACTTTTAGGTTATATTTTGGTAGATAAACGTGAAAACTACGACTGATACAAGGAAGAGCAAGAGACCAGAACGAGCTTCATTGCAGTAGATTTCGTCCATCTCAAAATTACCTGTCTAATTCAGATAGTATTTGTAATTCCTGAGGAGTCAAGTTGATATCGTCAGTATCCTGGGCCATTTTCACACTCGGTAAATATACTCATTTACCAACAGAGAGGACACATGTTTGCACTTAGAATTGGCCGCTTTCTATGAGAATTCGACAGTTTTCACGATTTATATACTCAACACCTCGTCACCTCATCGGGATGATGAAGTTTTTAAAATCGGCGATCAGGTTAAATCAGTATGAGGCGGATCACGCGACGGAAGACCATTATCGTGGCTCACGTCGATTTGTAATTCCGGTATCACAGAACATTGGTCTTCGTGACGTTGTGAAACCGCGCGAAAAATTAAACAATTTGATGTACACGTTTCGATACGTATGGACATATTTTTAATTATGAATATAAAATTGCACGTAAGATAAGAACGATATTGAATCGATAAAAATAATCAGGTAAAATACAACGATTATATGTAATTTAACTTGTTACAACGAATATATAAAATTTAAGAATCTAAAATACAAATTAGAAATGATTGACAATGAATCGATCGAACAAATGTACAAATTCTCATTTTTAATCTTTCATTTCACAAGATGGCAGATCAATTCCTAAATTTTTGCGTTACTAATACACTATCAAATATTACAGACGGCTAGTTTGCGATTTTACTGTTGCAACGTCTTTGCTAGTTTTTTGAACTGAAACGATCGTTGCAGAATACCGGATATTTTCTCACATTGATCTATAAGCAAAGACATTAGTTTTATTAAATACTTCGATAATCGAAGAAATTAGGTGAGCCTTGCACATATAAATATTAACCACTATGAAAAATTAGATAATTTAAGAGCAAGCTTGAATTGTATCATGCCCAAAATACACAAGGATAAAATCAAGTCGAGAGCAACAAAGTTATTTAAACGGTAGACACTTTTCGTTTTTCATTTTATTTCAGAATACTTCGTGACTATTTTTGATATTTCATCCATATGTTGTATGATATAACAGATTGATTCGAAATTCGTAATAATTTGCCGCAATAAGAAGCCTTCATTATTACAATTTCTTGACAATGCAATCATCGATATATTTTTGTTCTGACAAATAGCCGAAGAAGGATTTCCTGACAATGTTATTTAAAGACGTGAGAATAGCATTCACTATTAGTCGTTTGCGTCATTAACTCAAAATTAAATGATTTGAAGGGTGTCAAGTGATATCAAAAATAATATAATAATTGGCAAAAAATCATATACTTAAAAATAAAAGAAATAAATTCAGTATGAATTAAGTAACTTTTAATAACTGATGTATTTTAAAATTGCTATTTTTGAAGAATGAGGAATTAAGGCTGATAAATTTTTTCTAGTGTCAGAATGAATCTTCCAGTAACAAAGAAAAGTAAAGACGATACAAACAAAGGAGAATCTAGCTTAGACATTTCTAAGGAAGCAAAAAGTATGATAGACAAAATCTTAGGGGACGTGAGCAAAAAATCTGCCACCAAACAAATCATTATTGGTACAACATCAGGATGGTAGGTGTTATACACACGACTTTTCAATTTCATTGCATGTGATCTGAATTATCTTTAATTAAAGATTAAAAAGAATGATGTAATTAAAGAAAGATAACTTTAAATCGTCTTAATCTCTATTAAAAATATATATGATATTTTATAAAATATATATGATATATATATATATATATATCTGAAAATATTTTTTGTTCATAATTATACGTATAGTTATATCCAACAAGATCTTAATAAAAAGATATTTAACTTTATTTGAATACTATGTGTAGGTTGACCGGTTTTGTAACAATGAAAGTTGGAAAAGTTGCTGCGTGTGCAGTTGGTGGTGGAATTATAATATTACAAATTGCAGCACATCAAGGATACATCAAAATTAACTGGGATAAAATTCAAAAGAAAGCTGAAAAAATTACAGATAAAGTGGAGGAGAAGGTAACAGGTGAAGGACCAAAACTTCTGGATAAGGTAAAATTCTCGATATGTGTTCTGGAGTTTTTATAGATTCGGTATATGTAATGATACATCGCTGTATATAAACGTAATGTTAATGTTATTTATAGGTAGGATCATGGTGTCGACACAATACACTTGTGGCAACAAGTTTCATTGGTGGTTTCATTATTGGTTTAGCATTCTGAGTGAGAAGCTATTAGTCTTATATAAAAATATGAGCGAATGTTACTTATTACTTTTAATGTTAACATTATATGTTAGGTATTATTTTCATCATTTCATCATAAAAACCAAAGATACATGTCATTTAAATTAGTAAGATCATCTAAATATTAAGAATCTATTTTCATTTCAATTTTTCAATGTATAGCATGAGTCTTTGTAACACTACGTTCATGTAATTAAAATCTAACACTTCTGAAAATATGCAAATGCATTAAGAAGTTTTTATATATCATCGATTATTCAATATATATACAATATTTGTATATTATATATACAAATTTATTAAATTTTGTGAAAAAAAACTAAAATCATAACAAAAATATTGTAAAGAATTACTCACATCAAACAATAAACATAATAATTTGATTAGTTGGAATTTTACTTTCTTTTTGTACATTATATCGAGCTTCCTGCTTTAAAAACTGAAATAATACATTTTATAAATGTATTTTCAATTTTTTATAATTAAGTAATTTATGTTAGTAACGAACTCTATTGTTTCAGGTCGAGAGATACGTTGATAAAAAGCTAGATAAAGCTGAACAATTATTGAAAAATGGTGAATCTCGTACGCGCCGTTGGTACCACTCTATAACTGGTGATACCTCCTTTAAACCTACAGAATTTCACTTTTTCCTTGCATCTTTTGTAGCTGGTTTAGCACTTGGTTTTGCAACTGGCAATTAGATTTAAATATACTGTATTCTGAATGCATAAATCAAGTGCTTATATCTTGACAACAATAATTTCACAAATGCATGATAAAACATAAAAACAGAATTTATGTTTTGAGAATGCTGATATTTAAACGTACCTAACGGTATATATAAGATAAATGAAGGTTTACTTTTTTCTATTTATAATTCGATTATTTTGTAGATGAGTTTATGAAGTTCTAATTACATAATTAATAATATAATAATTCAACATGAATGACATAAATATACAATTATATATATATATATATATATATATATATACACATTTTTATACATTAGTATTATATTTACTATTGTGTAATGTGTTGATTAATTTTCATTAATTAAATAATAATATTGATATCATAAAATGTGTTAAAATAAATATAAAAATATATTCTGCATTCAGATTACAGCAAAAATAATGCAGTGATTTTAGAAAGTATATTTATAAAATATAGAAATTAATATAATCTTTATATCAGACTTATAATAATTTCAGACTGCAACAAAATTTTTTTGGAAAAATATTGCTTTTTAATTTATTAGATAAATAATATTGTTTAATTAGGAATTCTCCAAAAATATAAAATGGACACAATAATGTAAAATAAAAGACAATGTTAAAATAGAATACTATGAAAAAGTTTTTCATCAAGTTCTACCTATAGTTAAGTTATACTAAAATATATAATATATAATACTTTATCATTTTTCCATTTTGCATAAGATTTTGAATTTACTTAAGTAAACGATAGTGTATCGTTACTTAAGTAATGATAATGAATTTACTTAAGTATTTTATGGCATGAGAAAATACAAATGAAAGATTATGCTATACTGTCATTTTCACAATTATATTTGTAAATATTATAGATCGATATATATATAGATATATTAGATATAGATCGATATATATATATATAGATCGATATGTATATATATATATACGTATATATAAAATGTAATACTTGCTTTGTTACAAAATGTTACAACAATAAGTATAAAATTTTGCTAGAAACTGTTTTATTTACCGAGAATTTAATTACAATTTCGTCATTTTGTAAAAAAAACTAAATACTAGATACTAAAATCATATGAAAGTGCCTTCTACTTTCATTCTATTTATTATTATGACTATAATTATTTTGATCGTTAGTAAATGAATTGCAAACAAATATTAAAACTGATCATTATATGATTGCAAAAAATAAAAAACTACGTATTTTTTTTAACTTCTAAAATATTGTCTTGTAACATATTCAGCTTCACATCCTATATATGCAAAAGGCAACAGAATGTATTGCTTATGTTTAACTGAAAGTACTTACAATGAATATTATTCTTTGCGCTATATAAATAAAAATAAGTTATAATACAATTGCCTCTATATAAAATAGTCATAATATAATATTATTCATATTTTATCCTAAAATCTTTTGAGGCACTGCATAATAATAGTTCTTAATCGTCTTCTAATCTTTTGATCACCATTACAGAATATGTGTGTCGAGTTATCTCCTATTTGAATCAAAGTATCTTCATCTTGCTGTAAATACAAACAATAAAATAAACACAACTAAAAGAGGATTTTATATTTTAAGATGAAAGTACTTAATAAATTCTTACTAAGTGAATACTGGTCGCAGTTGGACTATGTTGTAACTTGGCTCCTTGAATGCCCTCTTGATTAAGTTTCTGAAGAAGTTCTTGCGGATCCAAATTACCATATTCGTGTTTCCGTTCTTTAAGAACTTCTTCCTTGATTGGCGCAGGTGAACTGGAAGATGCTTTGCGTTTTCCGCTAGGTCTATCTTCAATATTCTAAATATATAGTTCTTAGTTAATGAAACATATCTTTAAAATTATACATTTATTGAGTTTTATTTGATTAACACATACTTTTATTGTATATACGTTGTCCTTAACTTCCAATTCTCCAGTAACAGACGCAAGACTTAAACCAGGTCGAATTTCATTAGGAATTATATTTCCAGCCAATTCTGGTTCAATAAACACTCGTCCTTTCTTTCTTTTTAAAGGCAGTTTGATAACTTCACCTCTTTTGAAAGTGATCAATGGTTTTTCCTTATATGTGAAATAAGTTAAAAAGTCAATCGTTACGCATATATAGTTAAGACAATGTACTTACCCCTACAGGTTCTATAACAAGATCTGTTCTATGTGGTGCAGTTATTGGTGGTTGTGTATAACATTCAGGTATAACTAAATGTTCAGGTTTCAAATCTCTAATTAATTTATTAGCTTGAGTAAAATTAAGAGATGTATCAATTGGGCAATGCACTGCTTTCATAGCTAATGGTTGAAATGGTGCTAAGGCATCTAAATATGGAAAATCTGGTTCTGAAATAATGATTATTACATGTAAAATTTACTATAAATCACATCACAACATTCTGTAACAACGTACATACATCATATAATATATACTATATAATATATACTATAAATTATATTTAATATATAACAATAAATATACCTGTGAAAATTATGGTGTGCTGTGGGTTGTTACCCCATAGTTGAACAAAATGAACTGCATCCCCAAATCTGAGGCTTGGATGACCACAAAACACAACACAAGGTTGTCTGTAATCAGAACTGAAACCTTCAGCGTATGTAGATGTAAAATGTTTTAATC